ACACAAATAAACAAAACACATATATGCCAGAGGGCAGTGGTGCTTGCCAGAGAGTGACAGAAAAACAGAGAGACGGGAGAAAGCACCTCTCACCTCTCATGGGGCGCGGTCATGCCACAATCCCTTCTCTATTTCGCCATCCTGTCAAGATTTTGGACATGTGTGCTCAAGCTTGTACCTGATGTGTGGGGGTTTTTTTTGGACAGGTTTTTGCTATAAGGTGCGTGTGCTCGCCAGAGAGAGACAGAGAGACAGAAAGCGAGAAATCATACACCAAGGGGGATGGCCATGCTGCAATCCCTTCTCCTCCATCTTGGGCACACATGCACACACGCCCAGCATGAGTTTAAGCCACCGGGTCCGGGACTCGAACTGCGGTTGACCACGTGGGAGTCCAGTGACATAGCCATTACGTTAACTGCAAGCCACCAGAGCTGGGAGTCAAACTGCAGGGTGGGCATGTGGGATCCAGCTCTCTTAACCACTAGGCCTTGGGGCTGGCTCCTTCTATAATTTTATTATTTAAAGTTTGTACCTTGTTGGTCTCTCTCACTTACATTTTGATCTAGTAAAGCAGGGACTCCCTCTCCCTCCCCTCGTGTTCATTAGTGTCATACACAGAGTGAGAGAGAGGAAGAGGGTGACCCTAGAGCACCCTGAGGTCTCTGTGCTGTTTGGAAGAAAGGCCCACTTTACGCTGCTAGGCCAGATGTGTACACAGCACGGTAAATGCTTCCTCAGAGGGAGCAGACACAAGACTGGGTCTTCACTGAGGAAGGGAAGGGAAGGGAAGGACAAAAAAGTCGTGGAAGGCTGGGATGAGAAAGAGCAGCACAGACAAGACAGGATGAACAGAACAGTTTCCAGATTCCTGGAGTAAGGCAGATGCCTAAATCCCTTCACAGTCCTTCAAAACCACACAGATCAACAGCGAGAGCAAATTAAATCACCAGCCCCCTTCTATCCAGCAAGACAGAACACCTCGGACTTCAATTTACATGCAAATGGCGAGATAAATATCTGAGACCCGGAGAGCCTGCCCTGGAGAGCCCGCTCAACTCCAAAGCTCTCTGAGTCATGGGGTGGGGGTCGGGGTGGGGTGGAAGGGGATGGGAGAGGGAGACCGCAGAGCAGAGCGCAGCCGGTCCTCCAGGTGGCCATACACAGATGGCATCAGCCAGGACTGTGCGGAACGGATCCTATCCTGAGGGAGACACGGAGCACATAGACGGTGTCAGGGTACTGGTTACCTTGGGGAGAGAGTGGGTAATGGCTGGGGAGGTGCTTCCAGAATGTCAAGGTCCTAATTCTTTTTTTAAAAAAAGTAATTATTTAATTTTATTTATGCATTTTTTAACCCTAAAAGAAAGGGACAAAGAGAGAGAGAAAGGGAAAGTGGGAAAGCAAGCCACCAGGACTGGGACTCATACAGCGGTCGGCCACGTGGGACTCCAGCACTCAACCACACCACCTGCCAGTCCCAAGGTTCTAATTCTTAATCTGGTTACATGAATGTGTTCAATGATTTAACTTCACTTATTTTTTATTATATTTTATTTATTTATTTTTAAATTTTGATCAGACACACACACAGGGAGAAGGAAAGTGAGAAAGCAAGCTACCAGGTCCAGGACTTGAACCGTGGTCAATCATGTGGGAGTGTCCAGCACCTTAACCACCACGCCACCTGCTGGTCCCCAATTTTATTTATTATTTTTTAAGAGAGATTTTTGTTATAGGGCACGTGCATCCACTGGAGAGACAGAGAGATACAAAGACAGAAAGCAAGAAATTACCCCCCAGGGAGATGGCCACACCGCGATCCCTTCTCTTCCATGCTCCTCTCGGGATCTTGGGCATGCACGTACAAGTGCCCGGCGTGTTTTAAGCTGCTGGGTCTGGGACTCAAACTGTGGTCGACTACGTGGGAGTCCAACGACGTAACCATTACACCATCTGCTGGTCCCTTATCACTTTTTAAATTTGCTGTAGGGCACACATGCCAGACAGAGACAGCGAGAAAATGAGGAAGCAAGACACTAGGTCTGAGACTTGAACAGCGTCAGCCATGTGGGAGTCCAGCAATGTAACCATAATGCCATCTGCTGGACACTTTTCTTGGCTGTGCTCAGTCCTAGATCTACAGGGAGCCTAACAGGCAGCTAGCTAACCTAGGCTGGCCTCAGAGCCCAAGATCCCGCACTGCAGCGTGGGAGTGCCATGCTCCCATGGAGACAGCAGAGGCACAGGACAGCTCCCAGGATTCAAGTCCATTTCAAGCCTCTGCTTCCACGACATCTGCTAACATTGCACTGGCCAAGACGAGTCACATGATAGAAGCCAGAAGCAAGGGACAGGGCAGGTGACCCCACTCAGGGTCTGGTAGGGCACTGCAAATTCACACAGTAAACAGCACAGATGGGGTAGGGGTCAGGTGAGGGGAGGGATTGGGCCATCAACCCAGTTAACCAGGCCAGGAGAAGGGAAAGTGAACAGTTGATGAAAACACACGGAAACACAACAGCAGAGTATGCCATGATGCTTTAAAAAAAAAAGAATTATTTTATTTAACTTTATTTATTTAAATTTGATCAGAGACGGGAAGAGAGAGAGAGCAAGCTAGCCACGGGGTCCGGGACTCAAACTGCACTTGGCTATGTGGGAGTCCAGCACTCCCAACCACCACGCCACCTGCTGGCCCCTACCATGATGTTTTAGGGGTACAGAAATGGGCACACTTCACACTTTATCTTGTATTAAAATTATTCATGGAGGGACCAGCAGATGGTGTAATGGTTACATCGCTGGAACCAGTAGTCAACTCCCATTGGAGGTCCAGACCCAGCGGCTTAAAACTCACACTGGCTGCAGGTGTGTGCATGCCGCGGTGTGGCCAGGCCCCCGGGGGGTGATTTCTTGCTTTCTGTCTCTCTCATGAGTGCATGTGCCCATAGCAAAAATCTCTCTCTAAAATAAAAACTAATCATGAAAAAAATGTATGCATGGACATGTCCCCTTCCAGCCTTCAGGACTATAAACTGACATTTTCACATTCTCTACAGCTTTGGCATAATGCCTAACTGGCCCCTGAATGTTTGTGAAATAAAATTTCAGCCATAAAGGGAGTCATTTCATTGTCCATTTTATCTTAGGCTGCAGGAGAAGAGACCTACGTAGCAGCAAGACCTATCTTTATATTTTACGATCATTACAGTGAATTCATAGTCTCCATTCTTACAATAGTCTCCAGTCAAGTGAAGAGTTGATGGAGTTCTAGCACAGTGATTTATGAGTGGATTCATTTGAATTAAAAATAATTTTTTTGACCATATGGCATGTGTACTCGCCAGAGAGAAATCACCACTCCCCCAGCCCTGGCCAGGGGGTATAGCCACACCGCAATCCCTTTTTCTCCATTCTCTTCTCTGGATCTTAGGCATGCACACACACACACATTACCCCCTCTGCCACCTGTGAGTTTTAAGCTGCTGGGTCTGGGACTCAAACTGTGGTCGACTACGTGGGAGTCCAGCAACATAACCATTACACCATTTTCTGGTCCTTCTGGTCCCTGCAATATACATTTCTGATAGACTCGTATTCATTGAATTTTTTTTTTTCCACTTAAATAAGGAAATGGAAAGTGAGAAAGCAGCCCTCATAGGAGGCCACGCCACAGTCCTTTCTTCTCCAGTTTCCTCCTAAGAGTTTTGTGGACACACACACATATGCCTGGTGTGTCACCAGGTGTGTTTTTAAAGCCATCAGTTCCAGGACTCAACCACAGCAATAGGCCACTGCGGGACCCAGCTGTCTTAACCATCACAGCACTCTGGCTGGTCCTCCCTCATATTTTATCCCCCCTCCCCTTTTTCTTTTTCTCTTAGTTCTTTTTTTTTTTTTAATTTAAATGTATTATTATTATTTTCCAGTTCGATCAGAGAGAGAGAGACAGAGAGGGAAAGTGAGAAAGCAAGCCATCAGGTCCAGGACTTGAACCGTGGTCGGCCATGTAGGAGTCCAGCACCTTTAACCACCATGCCACCTGCCGGCCCCTTCTTAGTTCTTTGAATTAGTGGTCTAAAACAGCCCCTCTTCCATATTTTAGCTAATCCTAAATTCTGGGCAAACAATCCAATTTGGACCACACAGAACTTTCTTTTTAAATAGGGTTTTGCCAATAAGCCGCTTGCGCTCACGGGAGAGAGACCCAGAGACAGCCTGAGGGATGGCCGCTCCCACTCCCTTCTGCTCCATTCTCCTCTTGGGATTTGGGGCGCTCAGGCACAGGAGCCCGCCCAGACTGCAAGCCGCCAGGTGGGGGAGTCCGGCGCCCCAACGGCCGCGCCACCTGCTGGCCGCACGCAGCACGTCTCCAGTCATCTCTAGATGCGGTCTCCCCTGAGCGTCCGGAGCAAATTCCATGCCCACGCCGATCCTGGGGAGCCTTAGATGAGCCCCGTCGCTGCGGGCAAGGGGCAGGCTACCGGAAACGCACGTCGCAGCTCCGCTCAGGGCCCGACTTTTGGCGGGGGTCATCATCGGGTTCCTGCTACACCCCACCAGCAGGTCGGCCGAGGAGCCCAAGGGGATGACTTCCCCCAGGCGTGCCGAGCTCACCGTGAGGGCTGAGGGGAACCTGGCGTGTCTGAGGTAGCCCGGGGAAGGGCCCGGCTGGAGCGAAGGGCCGGCGCGGGAGGCCCACACCAAGCCCCCCAGCCGCTCGTTACTCACGCCCTGGGCGGCTGACAGCAAGC